ATGCTATATTTATGGGTTAAAGTGCTCAATATCAGGAGCAGAGCGTATGTAAATATAAAAGTGGACATTGAAGTCAACACCCAGAGTCAAGTCCTGATGAATACGCTTAATCATGAAACAGACTGTCGCCTCTGGGTGTTGATTTCAATGTACACGCACACACACACACACACACACACACACACACACACACACACACACACACACACACACACACATATTAGTGTTGGTTTCCCGATAAAAAGACTTCCGATGGGAAGGAAAACTTCTGATAGCTTAACCCGGTCATTATACTGCATGTGTCTGCCGAGAGGCATCTACTGGCTGATATTAACTGCGATCCGGAGAGGTTAAACTTCGCGATAATAACGAATTAGGACTGTCGTTCGGAGTTTCCGTGGCAAGTCTTTTGCACCGTTACTTTATTTATCGACAGATCCAAAAAGTGTGGATGGTCCGGCACAAGCCTTCACCAATTGAAACAAGTCATTGTGTTGGTTTTCTGACAACTACATCGAATTAGTTCCACACATATCCGGCTACTTCGAAAAACTCTACGAAACATCAACTACAACTACGCAATTGAATGCACGAACTCAGCACCAGAAAGAAACATAGCTCTAGTCGTATTGGAGCTAAAGAAGTACAACATTGATATAGCCGCACTGAGAAGTAAGCATCAGTCGACTACATGAAACGAGAAAACAAAATAAGACATCTAACAGTGCTCCTGCTGCATTCTCCTGTACTGTTTGTGGCCTTTCGTGCAATTCTCGAGCCGATCTCAAAAGTCATGCCCGTCATAGGCATGCAGATAATTAGTTCGTGGTCGTCGGAACTTCATACGTTGAACTCGGCGGGAGAGTCCATCACCATAGATAGATAGATATAATATTAATTTTTGACCGTATATATATATATATATATATATATATATATATATATATATATATATATGTAAGAGCTGGCCACTTGTATTCGAAGATACCCGTCTACTAGAGCGGCTAGCCAATCCTGCTCAGAAACATTTGTGCTTGTTGAACACCCACACAGCCAACCTGTGGTTTATACTGTAACTATGCTGAGCAGACCTTTGTTACAGTTTCTGGGAAAGAGCGTGTTGTTTAGCGTGATCAACAATCTGGACAAGACCAGCACGCTCAAACTCTCGGTCTCGGTCACGATGACTTGTGACTTCGTGCTAGCACAGCTATCGACGGACACTAAGGCTTACGTTTACCAAATTTCACACACACACACACACACACACACACACACACACACACACACACACACATATATATATGCGGTTAAAAATCAATTATTTCTCACAATGTTTTATATAATAAAATTCGATATAATATTGTCACTAATGATATTAGTATAAATAAAGCAAATAAAGTTAAGAGGAAAGAAATACCCGTAAAAAAATTAAGTATTAACATTAATCCATCAATTAATCCATCAATTGATAATGAGATTTAATATAATATTATAACTAATAGATGACTACTGTAAATAAAACAACTAAAATTAGGATGTGAGTGAACTCATAGTTAATATTTAGGTGAAAGCTCGCTTAAATTAAACGAGTGGGACATATTGTGTCCTCACAGAAAAATTTGTCCTAGCCCGCACTTGATAAATTTTGATCGTGTTGCAAAAAGTGAATGTCATTCAACCATTTTCATCTTGAATGTCATTCATGAATGAAAATAAACCATTTATTTTGGAGAATGAAATTTATTGATTAAACACTGAATTTTCCTTTTAAAACGTTTTAAGTTAGTTTTAAAATTCAAATTGAATGTGATGCGTCAATAGCCATTAAGGAATATTCCCGGCGAGTCTAATTTCTCATCTTATGTCTTCATCTTTTATCTTTAGTTGCGTTTCTAATTGATTTCTTGTTTAGTTTCGGCTAATCTGTTAGCTATTTCCAAAGACTGTTATTGAGTTATTGCTAATGGTGTGTAGGTTGCTGGCCCGGAGGGCATTTTTAAAATTCCTGTTCATGCGTATCAAGATTGAGCTTCACTTTCAGTAGAAAGCAGCAATTCTGCTCTGGATTTTTTTTTAACATCTGATCTAGTGCTCTTGCTAAAATATCACGAGATTCTAGACAAAATCCAATGCAGGGCCTTTCATTTAATCAGTCCTAAACTGTCATCTCGAATCCAGTCACTTTACCACCGACTTCCGTCTGTATTTCTATAAATGTTTTCACGACAAACATTGCTTCTTTTGTATATCGATCGTATGAATTTAATCATACTACTGGATTGGCAAACTAGGTCTCATCCTTATTAAAGTTGAAAGAGCACTTTTGTCCCGTGGAACTCTCTTCCGGTGTCTTGTTTCACTGCTGTCTATAATCTTCAAAAGTCGCCATCTTCTGTCGTCCTGAATCCTTTTAATTTCTTTAGACTTCTCATTCTCTCACATTCTACGAGTAACCCTTGCCTTGCTTTGGGCGAAATTATAAAAAAAATATATCAGTAGTAGTCGGCACCCGTTCGTATTCATGTATTCGCGTCGTCATCCTTATTTAATTTCTCCCTTCTGGGGGGCGGAGATGACTGCGAAGGCCCAGCTTACCCCTGAAAAGCTCAAAGAGAGTTTGACGAAGGCATTCGAGTGAATTTGATTTTGGTAGACAAATCTGCGGGACGGAGAAGCACATGCATTTGGCCAGAACCGACTCAAAAGGGAGTGAGACAGGCAAGATTTGGCAAACCTGGTTAAATCAGGCTGTCAGATGCGTGGTCTGTCAAGGTCCACCTTGATGGTATTTATCAATTCACCCACAGGAATTGAATGTGGCACAAGGCCTTTTTAATGTGGGTATGTCTGAGCCCGTAGGCCCAGCCAAAAATAAAACCCATCTAAACCCGTCCAAGCGGGCTAGTTCCGTCAACCTCCCCGAACGAAACCCCACCCTTCGGCGGAGATTCGATCGGGTTCCTCTCTGCAAGCAGAGAGTTCGACAGACACCCGACCCGGCAACTCACAAAGCGCAGATACTACACTTTGATCCTAGCCACCGGGCCGAGCGGGTATTCTTTTTATTGATATTGATTACGACATCCTGACAGGTGCTGCCTTTTCCCGCCACTTTGGTCATCGAGATTGTGAAAAAGCCAATAAGAGCGACATCTTTATATGAAAATGTTTGCACGATACGAGATTTAAAAAAAGAATGTCATCTGAAATTTAGTCTTTTGGAATCTTTTAATTTCTTTCTGCAGTAGACCAGCTGTTATCCAAGGCTATAGAACCCAGTCTCTCCTGCTATTTACCCATAGCTGAGGGGAGAAGAAGAGGATTCACACCTTTCCCAAGGATATTAACACGTAAGTGAATGTAATGGATTCGACTGGAATTCGAACTCGGCTCTCCGATTCCTCAATTCAAGCCGCTATATTGATTTGAAATAACTCAATTTTGTCCATTTTTCGCTTTCGAGTCAGAAAACATACACGACGCAATTCTTCTCCATGGTGATCGTCATTCACGTCGAATCTCTGGGAAAACAGGTGCAGAGAAAGGAAACGATATTTCGCAGAACATCTTTGACTTGATATTTTTGGTGAGAGAATTCTATTTATCACAGACTGCTTATTTACGCTGTTTCCGATTACGGTCTACCATATAAATCTACTTTTGTCGTTACGTTTATATGAGTTTCTTTCTTTCTTTCTTTCTTTCTTTCTTTCTTTCTTTCTTTCTTTCTATCTATCTATCTATCTATCTATCTATCTATTTTAATATTTTCATTATCTATTTTAATATTTTCATATCTATTTTAATATCTATCTATCTATCTATTTTAATATTTTCATTATCTATTTTAATATTTTCATATCTATCTATCTATCTATCTATCTATCTATCTATCTATCTTAATATTTTCATTATCTATTTTAATATTTTCATATCTATTTTAATATCTATCTATCTATCTATTTTAATATTTTCATTATCTATTTTAATATTTTCATATCTATCTATCTATCTATCTATCTATCTATCTATCTATCTATCTATTTTAATATTTTCATTATCTATCTATTTTGATATCTATCTACCTACCTATCTATCTATCTATCTATCTATCTATCTATCTATCTATCTATCTAGCTATCTAGCTAGCTAGCTAGCTATGTAAAAAGCCAGAGTAAAACGAAGAGAAAAGCTGGCAAAAGGAATAAAAACAAGAGACAATGTAATACAGGCCTGCAGTCTACACGTTTTCATTCTTATTTTTGAGAGTAGGTAAATCCTATTTAATATTTTTCTGTTAGAATGCAAAGTAAGAATATTGATAGATACAATTATGTCATTATATCTCGTATATTCTAGTAACCTTGAATCTTTAATACATTAATTTTTTTTTATAATTTGAGATTTCAGTAAATTCACCCCTTCACTTTCCCCCTCTCCTCTCTTTCATTCTCTTTCCTTCTTTTATTCTCTCTCCATTTTCTCCCCCTCTCTTATTCTCTCTATCCTTCCTCATCCGTTCTCTCTGGCCTCCAATTGCGCTAAATATCTGTATGAGTTTCTTTGAAAACATTTTGTTTACGGCAGAGCGTTTACTTCAATGAAAAGCAAAAAGCAAAACACTTAAAATGTTTGTCTCGTCACGTGATATCTATTTGCCTATTACGACATAACTATTAACCCTGGGGCATTAATTTATTGAACTTCTTTATAATTTAGATTTTTTATTTTTAAAATCGATCTTTTGTTTTATGATTTTTTTGCGTCTTTTAATATTTGAATAACGATTGGAAAAAAGTAATCGAACGTCAGTCAATCACCAGACATTTGATAATCGATTTTTAATGAATTATTTCTTGTTCGTGCGTCGGGATTGAGATGTTTTGGAAAAGCTGCGCTGAACGGTTAGGTTATATCTATCTTTATGTATGGTAGTCAGTACTGGACAATTTCCGAACAGATAAAGAAGAGAAGGATTTTTACTCAGTTTTTCTTAGATGCATAAAGTTTTGTCTTTCTTTTATGAGGACAAAGAGAATGTAAAAACTATCAATAGACATTATTGTCGATCAATCCAGTGGTCATTTTCAAGAAGCGGAGGATTATGTATGGGCGTTTAAAGGCTTCCTTATTGAAAGAGCGGGACGGTTTCATTAGCGGATCCGTCTACGAAACTCTGGAGTCGGGATGATGGAGGTAACACAGATCAGCTAAGTAACAAACTTCGCATTTGTATTATTTCTCTCTCTCTCCCACACACACACACACACACACACACACACACACACACACACACACACACACACACACACACACACACACACATCTTATTTAATATTTTCATTATCTATTTTAATATCTATCTATCTATCTTAATATTTTCATATCTATCTATCTATCTATCTATCTATCTATCTATCTATCTATCTATCTATCTTAATATTTTCATATCTATCTATCTATCTATCTATCTATCTATCTATCTATCTATTTTAATATTTTCATATCTATCTATCTATCTCCGTAAAAAAGAAAACTGTATATCCATTTTTTGTAATCTATCTATCTATCTATCTATCTATCTATCTATCTATCTATCTATCTATCTATCTATGTCTGTTCGTTATCTATCTATCTATCTATCTATCTATCTATCTATCTATCTATCTCCGTAAAAAAACTGTATAACCCTTTTTTTGTAATCTATCTATCTATCTATTTATTTTAATATTTTCATATCTATCTATCTATCTATCTATCTATCTATCTATCTATCTATCTATCTATCTATCTATTAAAGAAATGTCAGACACTTGAAATCCCAGAGGTAATAATTTTTATTTCATAAGACCTTTAAAAAAAGCAGCTTTCTATCTTGAAGACTTAGAAACAAATTTGTTAGACCTACAGACAAAAGGATTTGTTTGTAGGTCTTGAAGATTGAGAGCTGCATTTTTTTAAAGCTCTCATGATATAAAAATTATTACCTATCGGATTTTAAGTGTTTGATATTCTTTAATTAATAATAATAATTTTGCTTTGTTTTTTTACATAGATCTCTCACTAGTTCTATATCCTCCTGGAAATTCCACACACACACACACACACACACACACACACACACACACACACACACATATATATATATATATATATATATATATATATATATATATATATATATATATACGTTGAGAATCTTTTATCTAAAGTAGCATTTATTTGTCAAGAGCATAATTGTGTTTATTAGAAATAATTAGTTCTTTCATTCGTTATTGAAAGAACCTGAGATTTTAGAGTCCAAGGGTCCTGATAATGCTGAAACGATGTCTTTCTGTCTTTTAAAGTTTTTTGACGCTCAGACACTGTTTTTATTGATCGGATTAAATATAAATCTTAAGATGTTAGTCCGGTTGAGTTAGAAGTATGTGGTAAAAATAAAAGATTTATTCCTCTTAGGAGTTTATTTTGTTGTGTGTGGGCTTCCATTATCAATCTGACGAAAAACTTATTTTCAGTTCATCAAATGCGGACATTTTTCTTGAGTAACTTTTCAATCGTTTCTGACAATAATTGTCTACAGTGACCATCTTGCCCGGTTTCTAATAGGTTGTGATTGATGAAACTTATCAACTGCCAAGAAATTACGCAGCTAAAGTCTTGTTTTAGATGTTTGACTTCAATTTTAGACGAATTTCGAAAACCGAATTGAAGACACGAAAACAAATGAGAATGAGTAAAAGTGCTGATAAAACCGGAAGTTGAACGAGTTGAAATTGGCGAAACATCAATCAAGGAAAAGTTAAGCAAGATCTTTCTTTATTTGTTTAAACTTTTTAAAAATGCTGTATAAGTTTGAGGAATGAAGGATTTTTTTTTATCTTTGAGTTCAAAGAATAAATAAAAGATAAAGAAAACAAAAGAAGAATTCCTCTTTTGGGTTTTAACAACAAACAAATCCTATTTTTTTCATATTCATTCGTATTAATTTCTTTATTTTTTATCTATAACTGTTCATTAGATTAGTTACGAAGGAATACTGAATTTGATCCTCACTGGGTGCTCCATACATTCGGCCTTGTGCCACATGTAAGCTACGCTTACTAGGTCGATATATTTAACTACTGATTGATATCTTTCTATCTCAATTTTTATCTATTTCGTTATTTTTTTCTATCTTTCGTACTTTCTTTCAGTTTATCATGTCATGGTTCATGGTTCTATCTATCTATCTATCTATCTATCTATCTATCTATCTATCTATCTATCTATCTGATTTGGTCTGTTTTCCCGAGAATCTATCTATCTATCTCCCTTTTTTTACTGTCCTTCTGTCTCCCTATGTATTTCTTGGGAGGCACGGTGGAGTAATGGATAGTGCCTCGGATTGAGGAATCGAAGAGCCGAGTTCGAATTCCAGTCGAATCCATTACATTTATTTATGTGCTACTATTCTTGGGAAAGGTATAAATCCTCTTCTACAGCTATAGGTAAATAGCAGGACAGACCGGGTTCTGTAGCATTGGATGGCAACTGATCTACAGCAGAAAGAAATGGAAACCTATTGAAGGAAAAAAAATCAGTCATGTATCGAAAGATACATGATCGCCTAATCGTGTATCACGCATGGCACATAACTGATTGACTGTATTTCTTCATATCTATCTATCTATCTATCTATCTATCTATCTATCTATCTATCTATCTATGTATTTCAATCTGTTCATATCTATCTATCTATCTCAGTCTGTTCATATATATATACATAGATAGATATGTCTCTCCCTGTTCTTATCTATCTATCTATCTATCTATCTATCTATCTATCTATCTATCTATCTATCTATCTATCTCAGATGTCAAAATGAGAAGTATCAAATAATTATGATTAATTACGAGGCAGTCAGTCTTTTCCATCCCTGAACTTAAAACCATTTCTCTATTGTTGATTCTATTTCGAAAACAAGTAACTTTACAATAAATCAAAATGCAAATATCCCCATCGATTAAGAGCAAATCCATTAATCACATTTCTTTGCTCCTGTCACGTGGACAATATTGACCATTTAAAATTTGATTTTTCTTTATTTCAGGATTTCAACTGAATGTGTAGAAAAGATGGAGGATGAAAACCTCATCCCCATTTCTACAGACGAAACGCCACTGCAATGGAGATCTGGTGCAAATAGAATACATGTTAAGATATGAGTTTTCCAAATTGTTTTATATGCTTACCATTCCTTCGGATTTTCGTCCATATTTAAACAATATGTATGTATGTATGTATGTATGTATGTATGTATGTATGTATCTGTATTCATCCCAGTCCAATCACATCTATCTATCTATCTATCTATCTATCTATCTATCTATCTCAGTCTTTTTATATCTCAATCTGGTCATCTCTCTCTCTCTCACTCACTCACTATCTATCTATCTATCTATCTATCTATCTATCTATCTATCTATCTATCTGAATGAAGGCGAAAGGAAGACTTATCAAAGGTGAGGAAATTTATCAACGCAAATGCCTCAGAGGATGAAACGTGTCTGTTAAGTTTTACTTTTGTCTTTATTTATATTGTCCTTTTACATACCTATTCTATCTGAAATTTTCTACACACACACACACACACACACACACACACACACACACACACACACACACACACACACACACACACACACGCGCACACATATATAAAATGTAAAAAGCAAATAAATATATATATATATATATATATATATATATATATATATATATATATATATATATGTACGCCTTTATCCACTGTGCCATGTGTCCTTGAGGCGTTAGTTAGATCCAGTGACAGAACCCAAAGAGTGTGAGTTCAATACCCGGTTATGGCAGTCGAGAACTTTCAGAGTGAAATTAACAGGCGATAACTGATAACTGACATCCATTAAACATGGCACGTGGAACTAGAACAGTCTACCCCAGTGAGCGAAATAAAGGGTTCAGTTCGACATTCTAACCACCTGAAGTTGTAATAAATATGGCGACAAAGATGAGGACAATAGTCCGAATAATGTAAATAATGTACATAATACCCCATCTCAAAAATATAGACAGATACTGATGGGCCGAAACATTGTAATAAATATGGCAACAAAGATGAGGACAATAGTCCGAATAATGTAAATAATGTACATAATACCTCATCTCAGAAATATAGACAAATATAGAAAAACAAGTTATATCGACATATTACAAATGAGAAATTTATTTATGTACATTCACTGTTTTTTATTAAGTTTATTTTAATAGTTCGATAAAAAGATTTGTAATATTACCTGTTGTACTTTGTTTTGCAATGTTTCTTTCTTTTGTGTGTATGGCTAGAGTATATTTTTGTATGGATTCGACTTGTAGGATTAAAGTTCAGATATCCCGAAATACTTCAAAGTCTATCAAGTTTTTTTAGTTGATTTGAAAGAAAAGTACCGTAAAAAGTTATCAGTTTCCCTTGATGTTGTGTAGGAGCAGTCTTTTCCTTGTCATCGTTAGGTGAGCTCTTGTAATCATAAACGAGGCAATTTACTGTTGACTACATTTAATCACTCTGCGCCTATTCCGTTCAAATGTCCTTTTAAACAATCGACCTCTATACAGATTTGCTGGATAGTTTGTGTCACTTTGATTCATTTTAAAGTGTTTTAAAAGCCGGAAATTATTTTATTTTTTTGTTTTAAAGTTGAACCAGAAATGATTTCTCTGACGGGACTATGTTTTTTTTTCTTCTAAATTTCCAGTTACAAGCCGTCAGAGTAAAAACGTCCGTTAGGATTTTTTAATGGACTTCGTCATTGTAAATATATGAATGTCTCTTTCAATAAATGATAAAATGCAATGAAAAGAATGTCTTTAATAAAACAAAATCATTTCCTATTAAAGTATTATTACGACATTTAGTCGTGACTTATCATGTCTGAAGAATTTTACAACAATAGTTTATTTTAACAAAAAATGGATTCTTTTATGAAGCGGACAAGAGCTTACATTCCTTCTCGTTCTGTATTCAGAATTCTTTTGCAGGTCTTTTGTAACCTTTGACCCACGGAGAAGATTTTTATCTTTTTCGTACTGGTTGATAGATGAGCGATCAGTTGAATGAAATCACGCAGGCTTTTCGATTTTCTCTTCATTGCTTCTTTGTGTTTCAGGTACGTCTTTCCTAGGGGACCGTTTCTTTTTTATTTTTTTTCGTTTTTCCCTTCGACATTTTTTCTTTCCATTTAAGTAGAGTCGTGATATTGGGAAAACAAGGGAGGTAATAGACTTTAAACTGGGGAGAAAAAGGAAAATTTTCCAGAGCGATATTATTTGTCGTCATACAAGACGGTGGAGATATGTAAAGTATTATTTTCTTGATATCCAGTTTCAAGGAAAGCACTAGAAGCAACAACAACAATACAACAAATAATAATAATAATAATAATAATAATAAGAAGAAGAAGAAGAAGAAGAAGAAGAAGAAAAGAAATAGTTCTGATAGACTCATTGAAGAGATCCCCGATAGCCCATGCCTTAAAGAAATGCAAAAAACTTGTACTCACAAGTACAGCTCACACATTACAAAGAGCTTTATCTATGTAAAATGTGTGTGATCTGAGTTTGTTTTTTGTTTTTTTTTCCAAAAAGATCAGTGGAAAATATCATGAAGTCATTTCTGACCATAGATCTCTGGTTGGGACCCGGAAGGAAATGTGTATACAACAGAAATCGAAGGAACTAATAATAATAATAATAATAATAATAAAGCTTCTCACTTGCTACCGCATGCATCATCTCAAAGGTGATGTTGATCGTCTGTATGTGCCCAGATCCGAAGGAGGCAGAGGATTAGTTCAACTCAATGTCCTACAAAACTACAACAATTGGACTCCAAAGATACTTGGAAACTACAGAAGACTGGATGATGGTATGCGTCAAGAAACATGAAAGTAGTAAGCGTCTTTACTCCGTAATAAAAGAAGCCAACAAATTCAAAATGGAGTTTCAAATGGGCGCAGAAACGCAAGTACAGCACAATACACCGACTGAAACTGCAAAATACTTAAAAAAGACAGCAAAGACAAATGCAACCGACCAGATACAGAAGCGATGGCAAGATAAACCGCTTCATGGCCAATACTCTGCCCATACAAAACAAGCTGACGTAGACAAACCCGTACCCATCAGTGGCTACGTAGTGCAGGGTTGAAAGCTGAAACTGAAGGTTTTATCATACTGCACAGGACCAATGCTTGTTAACGAGGAGTTATCAAGCACATATATTAAAATATTGTGTTAGCCCAAAATGCAGATTCTGTGATAAATATCCAGAAACAATTGATCATCTTGTATCAGGTTGCACGATATTGGCACCCAATGAATGACAGAGTGGGCCACCCGGTATGGCAGAGTGGGCATCCGGTATAACAGAGTGGGCCAATATCTGCACTGGAAAATTTGCAACTTCTACGGGAAGGAAACTGAAAGAAATTGGTATGAACACCACTCAGACCCGGTTACGGAGATAGGACCTGTTACAATTCTATGGGACTACACAATACACACTGACAGAACAATCAAGGCCAATATTGTTATTAAAGACCACAAACAAAAACAGTGCCTCCTTATTGATATGGCAGTTCCTGATGACTGCAATGTATCTTTGAAGATATTCAAAAAGCTGTCAAAATACAAAAATTTGAAATAGAAATCTCAAAAATGTGGCACATGGGAACATCAACAATCCCTGTTGTAGTTGGAGCCCTAGGATTGGTTGAAAAAGACTCCAGTAGACTAACTGAAGGAATTCCTGGAAGTCCATGCCTCAAAAAGATACAAAAAATTGTTCTGACAAGTACAGCCCACACTTTACGAAGGGATTTATCTATATAATTTTTTTTGTCAGTGGAAAGTGTCATGATGCCATTTCTAACCTTAGGTCCCTGGGCGGGACCCGGAAAGAAATGTTTAAACGCCAGAAATCAAAGAAAATAAAAATGATAATAATAATAATAATAAAGGTACAACTGTGCGGGGATTTTGATTCACTAGTAACTGTGCAAAATGTTTGGATTCAGTTAAAGAAGCAAATTGTATGTTCACAAACCAGAGACTTATCTTGAAAAAAAAAAAAAACTAAATAAATAAAATAAAATAAAAATCGGAAAATGTTTTAAGATAGTAAAAAAGGTTCTGCCAGAAGAAAGGACTTCCTTATTTTGGACGAAAATAGGAATGTCTGCCAAATCATAATTGTAGTTATTTCTGTAGACACCAGGAGAAAACTGCAGGAGAAAAGAAATCAAAACTTTGCTCGAGAGCTGCAACACTGAGGAACATATGTTCCTATTCAGCA